CCGAACGCGAATTCATTGAAGCTTGGGCCTCGGACGACAACTCCGTGAACAGATGTGTTGAGCTGGCGCCCGCATACATTGCCTTCCACAGGAACATCCGCACGGCCGACACTGGTGATTAATGAGTTCCTTCTCCATCTCTCTCCCCCCTATGACGTTTGGTTGGCTCCTACCCCCTATAATTGTTGCTTGTTTTTCGTGGACGCTTTTATCTCTGACGATTGACTCCCACAAGAGACCGAAAGCTCAGAACAATGAACAAATTGATCTGGTGTTCGACAACTCTTCTTCCTCCTCCCTGCAAATAACTGGAACGCGAACGTTTGCATTCATTTTTGAATTACAAGTGGCTTTAATTGCTTTCTTATTGCACAGTTATTAGGCATTAACGGTTTGGCTGCGAATTCCGTAAGACATTTGGGCCGTGGGCGGCCCCGCGATAACTCCCTACCAAAATTGTTTTTTGAGTAGTCTTCCATGAAACCAGAACGTTCCAAAAGCTATGCGAAGTGCTATTAGTAGACCAATAGAGAATGCCCTCGCAATGCGAGGGTTGACCCGCGACAGGGATACTGGCCATGACGCGACAGCCAACTCTTCAGCCCTCTTCACACTTTTGTTCGTTTATTTTCTTCATGTGTTAAAATGAATCACTTTAAAGAAACGTGCAGCTGACGTCAACTCAGCACATTCTGGTGAAGATCGCGTGCTTACAGTTGGCTGCAGACTAACATTTTGGGCTTAATGGCCATTTTTAGTGGACCTTGCTGGTTTTTACTTCACAAAAAACCGACTCTTTTTGTAAGCAGTGCTTTTATTTTAAAACGAATGTCAAAAATGACTGCGTCTGTGCCATTACTTGCGTGACGCGGAGTCCGTGCAACCACCGACGCTAGATTACTCCGGGGGTTGACTGTATCTGGGTTTAAACACCTATTTCGGTTGTTTGCGGTAATGGCCAGTAAGAAGTGAATTTGCAGAGAAATCCTGATGAAGAAGGTAGAGCATATACCTTAAAATTATTCCGGAACCTCTGTAAAGTTAGTGAAAATGGCTTGCAAAATCCTCTGAGTAGAAGGATCATTAACAAAACTGTAGTGCCGCGGTTCCATCACCAGTGGCAATTAAGCTCACAGAAGTAATTGTTGGAGGCTACTGCTTGCGTCTTATATTTTTCTTCTCCTGCACAATGTTTTGGCAGCGTGCTTCTGAGCCTTTCATAGTATACGCGGACATTCGATATAGGATTAGTCGATGACCCAGCCCCACATAATGCGATCAAGATGGACTTATCGGTTTTTCATATTGAAACCCCAGCTGCACATCCTGGCTTATCTTGGATAAGTTATAAGTCAAGCATGAAAGATATTGGAAGCTGTGCCCCCCGTCAACCCAACTATTGACTATCAGGCTCCTCCACAGGTGACGGGTAGAGGATATCCAGTGAAGGCTAGCTTAAAAATGCGTAGGCATTTAGCTCTGGGAAAAGGGCAGTCATGGATCGTCAATGCTGTCAAAGAGTGTAGTGAGGAGATTCAGCCCATTGACTGTTTTTTTAAGATAAGAAAAAGGCCGGTGATGGCAATCTGTGACATTGCCCTCACGAACCACCACCACTGCCCTGCGATAAGATTTTATCGAACCAGATCATCCGAGAAGCTAATTCCATCAAGAGAAAAATTCCGGTGGTTGTTGGAAGTCACTGAGTGCCGAAGAGCCCGAAGCGAATTCGCCAAAAGTGAAACCTCATCATTATCCTATAAAGCAAGCCAGCCTTTAGAAGTAACTTCTTGCAGGTAGGGAAAACACAATGGGCTAGCAGATGTTTTCTTTGATCACAGGGACTTTAACGTCTAAGATTCGAACAACAGATTGCAGGTTCGAGTAAGGACGCCTTGGGCGTATCGGCACCTGCTGTCCCCTATTCGCATTCTGCTTATTAAGATTCGGACCCACATAAAATCGTGGGCGATGTGATTGGTTATGAGGACGGAGTGCACTTAGACTTTCGGCCAACCAATTTTAGACTTTTGGGCATATTTTATGCAACTCTGATCGACATTATGGCACAGAAGTGCCACGGAGTCGGATAGTCAATGGGCCAAGCTAGGAGTTAGTAAAGATTCAATGATATTCCGACAACATTTATTGTTTTCGTCTCAAATTATTTTTTCCAGCATAGACCTACCTCGCCTGGATCTTTCTCACCTAATTCCTGGTTCATTATAGGTTAAAAAGAAATTTGTGCATCCTTGACGTATTGAACCTTGGTTACCTTCGCCTTAGACTAAAGTGCTGACATTTCGTTATGTACTCCAAGTTTTACAGATATTCAACTCTGAGAGTCAGGTGATTTAAATCAAGACCTCAACACTCAATCATAATGCAGTAAATAAGGGCAGAACTACATTACCGACAAAGACAAGAGAGACTGGAATGCCTATTTCCGGTTTATTAGCTGTCATTAGTCAGCCATAAGCAATCCCGGGCACTGGAACAGACGAGGCTCGAACCCGCGATTTGTGGGGTCGAAGTGTGAGGTGAGTGTTTTTCGTAACCTATGCAGTAGCTACTGTAATTATCATATCTTTTAACCTTTTTATTGGAAGTTGTTTTTTACATGGAAGCTCTAATGCAAAATCTCAGATGGAAACACTACAAGTTCTGAGAGAATGGAATTGAACACCACTGCGAAACTTCAGTTTCTCAGATGATCACTCGGAAATCTCACCTACGCAAACCTGGGTAAATAATAGCTGAACGGCAACTTTCCAGGCCATAAGCTATCATTCAGAAAGAGTCGGATAAAGTATTACGGAGAAAGGACTGTCCCACTATAGGCGGTTGCAGGAACTCACGAATACGCTGGTATTATGAATTGGTGACCTGTTTACCTCA